CCCTTCCTGCGGAATGTGAGTTTGTATTCTACTTTTCCTATCCCCGTTCCCCATTGTGTATTTTGTGTCAAGACCTGACAGAAAAACTACGCACACTCTTAGATCCTGGACTTTGAATGAAAGATAGTACTACATGGGACTATGGGTTCTCTTAAGGAGTGAAGAAGGGTATTTGGAGGTCAGGGGATGTATTATGAAAGACACAACTAACTGTCCATTGAGGGTTGTGCAGCTTCCCTTTGTTCCATGATATAGAAGAGGTTACTAGACTCACAACTACATTACTTAACTTTTCTCCTTGAATTTAGGTGAGACCATTGAAAACCACATGTGTCTATGCTATATGAGTAGAAGTGCAATGTGTGGCACTTTCAACCCAAGGCTTTTAAGAGTAGGGATGCTTTATTTAGCCTCACTATCTCCTTCTGATAGCTGGATGCAGATGACAGAGAGGACCTGAAGGATAGCAGAGCCACCAGATGGGAGAATCATGGAGCAGAGTGGCCCTCTGACCACAAACACCTGTCTTACCATGTTATAGGTCAGAAAACGAACAAGTTGTGTGAAACCACTGAAAAAGTTGGGTTAATTATTAGTTGTGGTAAAAAGCTTTACTCTTCCTAATACAATACTTATTTTAAGAAAAATATTTGCACTTCTTTACCTGAAGTTATTTACAAAAATTGGTCACTGGGCAAAATATCACTGAGGTTCTACTGTGATTTTAAAATGATTGATTTCTGCTTAGTTTTGATTGAATATGAACAAACAGGAACTCATGTCTTCCCATGTTCTATAAATCTATGATTAGCCATATACAGAGAAATCAATGGAATTTCTGAGTTATTTTATACAGGAATAATTAGTATTGCTAACGCCACCAGGGAAGCTTACCTGTGTGGTAGGGCACTGCAGGTTTATCATCACAGAGGGACTGGTACAGCTAAGCAGGTTGAAATAAAACAAAATGGGCTTGTTCCTGTTCAGAGAGAAAACATCATAAAATAATATTTTTAGTGACTGTGGAAATGTTCCATATCATTTCATAATCCAAACATTTTTAACATATGACCTTTAAAAAGGGCTTCTTTTTTTCCTAGGCAGTTGCAATGTATCCTTTTAGCAAACATTTTTTTAATTGTAATTTTGAATGTACATAAAATAGTTGTACACATTAGTGAGTGATGCACAGTATAACATGTATACAACGTGTGATGATCAAATCAGGCAAATAAACATAGCCACCACATCTAACATGTATCATCACCTTGTGTGCACACTTGAAACTCACTCTTCTATTATTGTGAAGTATATATTGAATCATCACCAACTGCATTTACTTTATGTACTATAGTACTCTATAGCCTGTTCCAGTTATTTACATGCATTACTGTTTCTGCTAACCAAATTTGCCTCATCCCCCACATCCTCCTTCTCTTTCCAACTTCTGGTATCACCATTGTACTCTTTATTTATAGTCGATCAAATCTTTTAGCTTCTCCGAATGAGTAAAGACATATAGTATTTGTGAGTCAGTGCCTGACTTATTTCACTTAGTATTATTTTTTCCAGGTTTGTCCAATGCTGCAAATGACAGGAATTCATCCTTTTTTTTATGACTGAATAATACCCAGTCTGTGTGTGTATATAAAACTAACTCTACCAATGATGCATGAGAGTTCAGCCTTGCCAGAACTTATTGTTTTGGATTTTTTTTTTTTTAGAGAGACTTGCTGGAGACAGAGAGAGAAAGTGAGAAGTTATCCTTCAGGTGGGGGGCGGGATGGCCATACTGGAATCCCTTCTTCTCCAGTCTCCTCTTGGGATTTTGGGCACATAAGCATCTATACCCAGCATGAGTTTGAAGCCACCAGGTCCAGGAGGCAAACTGCAGCTGGTCATGTGACACTTTAACCACTATGCTACCTACTGACCCTATTATTTTATTTTTTAAAAAGAATTATTTTTATTTATTTATTTATTTATTTATTTTCATTTATTCTTCTTCAATTTGACCAGAGAGACTCAAACACACGTACACACACACACACACACACACATACACACACACAGAGGAAGTATGAGAAAGCAAGCCACCAGGTCCAGAATTTGAAACTTAGCTGGCCAAGTGGGAGTCCAGCGCCTTAACCACCATGCCACCTGCCAACCACTTTATTTTTTATTATTATTATTTTTTTAATAGCACTAATTCTAACTGGGGTGAGGTGGAACCTCACTGTAGTTTTGACTGGCATTTCCCTGATGATTTGTGATGTTTGACATTTTTTTCATGCGCTTATGTCTTTCAAAAATTGTCTGTTCATATTTGTTTTCCATTTCTAAAATAAGATTATTTGATTTTTTTCTGGTAGGAGTTATTTGAGTTCTTTATATAATTCAGTCATTAATAACTTGTCAGATGTATAACTCGTGAATATTTTCTCCCATTTTATAGTTGTCTCTTCACTCTATTTTTCTTTTACTGTGCAGAAAAAGCTGCCTGCCTCACATTTAAATCATCTTTTTGTAATAGCTAAAGCCTGAAATAATTAAATTGTCCATCAACACGGGAATAGTTAGAATTGTACATCCATAAATCGGAAGATTTATGTTGACATTAGAATAATGTTGAAGAACATGTTTAATTGATGGACAAATATATAATAAGTTAATTTTAAGAAGCAGTTTACTAAAAAGTATTAAAATATTATTTGATTTTAATTTTGTAAGAATAAGTAAAATGCATATGTAAAAATAAATTATATCTGAACATTGGGATTATATTTGTTCATTTTTTTTGTGTGTGCTTTTAGTAATGTCCTACAGTAAGCATGTATTACTTTGGTAATCTGAAAAACAATTAAGAATTAAGTGATACTTTCTCTCTGTTAAAAATTATAGTCAGTGACAGAGTACTGGGACTGGTCAATGTTCATTACCATTAGCTTTTTTTTTTTTTAAATTGCCAGAGGGGACATATGATTGCCAAAGAGAGACAGAGAGGGAGAAAGAGAAAATACCCCAGTTGGGGCATGGTCATGTCATGATCCTTTCTCTTCCATTTCTCTGTCCTGTCGGGATGCATACACAGTTGGCATGTTTTTCAAGCCACTGGAGCTGGATTTAAACTGTGTGGTTACGCATGTGGTATCTGGCTCCCTTAAACACTAGGTCAGGGGCCAGACTCATTACTAACTTCAAGTGGAAAATAATCTGCCATTTAGCAACTCATGGTTCCCCCTTTTGATTATCAACTTCTTCATTATTAAAATGAATACAACACCAGTAACATCTACTTCACAGTGATGTTGTGAGGATCTAAGCCTAGTGTAGTAGTCTCAAGACCGGATGTCATCTACCTGTACTGTGCATAAGTAAAACCTGGAGTGTTTGTTGAAAATTGTCATTCCTGACTTTTTCCAAACCCTCGACAGTCCAAATCGCTGGATATGGTGCCTAGAAACTAGCAGCTTTTCCCTAAGCTTCCCAGTGGATTCAGATATAGGCAGTCTAAAAATAACATCTTAAGAAATACAGCCCTAAATATTCAAGAAGAATGCTTCCCAGCACCTTAAATCCCCAATTAATGAGTATGATTATATATATAGCATAAAATATAAAATTGGTGGTTGAGTAATATCTTTCCTATTAACTCAAAATCAACAAGCAGTATTCAAATCTGAGGATGAAAAAGATCCTCTACAAGAAATTGGAGCTATTGTGTTGTTAGAAAAGTTACGATGTATTTTTGCACAGAAAAACAGAAAAAAAGTCATGATTTTTCCAACAACCCAATAGATCTTTCTATCATTTGTAGCCCCTTCCTGCCTATGTCTACATAAGCAAAAGATGCGGAGAAAGAGATGAATAGGAGACAAGACTTGGTAGGATACAATGATCATGGTTCATAGGACTTTCTCTCCTCTCCCCATGAAGGGTAAATTGCTTCTTCCCAATTTCAACTTACAGAGGGCTCTGAGAGACTGTCTCATACTGACGGTGACTAGAAGAAAATAATACCAGTATTTCATTTTCTAACTGAACACCTCTTAGGTGGCAGACCTGCTAATCAACCCTCTGTGTTCATTTGAACAGGGAGAAATGAGATACAAGGAGACCAGAAAAGAGCTGAATAAGTCAATGAGACAGAAAGAGGGCGGCAGTAAAGCGGCCTACGCAGGAAGTATGTGAAGTCAAGTAATGAGCTTGAAGCTCCCTGGTGATACATTACCCGACAATAAGAGACTGGTGGTGAATCACCAGTGCTAAAGCTGAAGGGGTTTGGAGGAGGGCAAACAAAAGCTGATCATTCACATTAAATACATACTCAGGGCTGGCACCATAGGGCAAAGATTAAATACTGAGCGTAGGGAGTCAGATCCCACATAGCCAACTGTTGTTCAAATCCTGACCCTGGCAGCTTTAAAAACATGCCAGTGCATGTGCATGCATGCCCCAGTTGCTGAAGAGATGAGGAAGTGAAGGAGAAAGGATTGCGATGTGACCACACCCCATTAGAGGTGTTCTCTCTCTGGCAAGTTCAAAAAAAGAAAATTATTCAGTGAAGACTTCTTTAGAAAATTTCCACCTATTTCCTATGAAGATCCAACCTGCAGATGCTTTTCTGAAGAGGCCATTGATTGTTGGTGGGTTATGATTGAGATGTGACTGTAACAATTATTTGGTACTAGGGCAGTGGCTAGGAAAGTAACAGATAGCTGTCTTTTTTCTTCTTCCTCCATCCATCAAAGCATGATAAAGGAGCTAGAACCAGAAAGGGAGAGAAGATAAGGGAAAATAGCAGACCAGCCCTTTTCCCCCCACTCCAAGTTCCTTTGCAATATCAAAGTGGAGCTGAGGGATTGAAAGAAATAACATTGAAACCTTAAATTGGATGATGATAAACTTTTTAACAATGGGAAGTTTCTGAAAAGTTATGTAATCTGTCAAATCAAGTAGAGAGATTTGAAAGATTATTGTTAGGCAATAATAGAAAAAAAACCATTATATGTTTGCATCTCATTGAGTTCAAATGGCTCAAGAAGTTGGTTATGTTTATGTACAATATGCACAAGGCTACTTTGAGATCCACAAGTGTCAGCTTGGCTTTTCCACCAACACCCAGGCTATTACATCATCTACATGCAGTCTCACAGTACATGTGCTTCAAATTTGTACCTAAGCAAATGAATAAATTATTACATGTCATGGATGGTTGGAGTCCCTTAGGAGTGGTTAAAACTGTGAATGGTAAATCAGTATAAGAGTCCACCACAGGTAAAATTGATTTATAAGCTGCAAAAATGTTATATAAACTCAAGTTATTCACCAGATTATGTTATTCTCAAGGGTCAAGTTTATACCTTATTAATCTTTATATCCCTACCTTGTCAGAATTTAGCCTAGTACTTGGCCCATTCTAGCCACTTATCAAATCTTGTATAGAATAAATGAAGCCAATTCCAAAATAAGTTTTTGAATCCTCTTTAGTTTTTCCACACAAATCTATAATGAGTTCACCAGTCTCTGATTCTCAAATTTCAGCGGACCTCAACTTCTCTAGGTACAAAGGAGATGATGATGGTCACAGCTGAGCAATTCCGTGGGAGTGGCGGGGGGAGCC